GGTGCGGGCAGTCGTTCACTTGTTCCACTGCCTCCGATCGGCGTCCCTCCTCCACCGGCTGTGCCGCTGTCACCGCCGGCGCGCGAGGCTGTCAGGTCCATGGCGTCCGCCTGCGCGCTCACCACCATAGCCATCCTCGCCGCGATCCTCTTCTACGTCCTCCTGCTGCTCAGCCGCGCCATGGAGCTGCGCTTCGCGGCCAGCTATGCCATGCTCGACTGCGCCCCGCCCCCTGCCTCGGACGAGGCCGCCGCCGCCGCCTTCCGGGACACCCTCCTGCCGCTCCTGGCCGCGCTGCCCGCGGCCGCCGCGCCGACGGGGTTCGCGTCCCTGCGGTCCGGCGGCGGCGCGTTCGCCCGCGGCCTCTGCCTGGGCGACCCCTCGCCGAGAGACTGCCTGGCGTGCCTCGCCGCGGCCGCCAAGAAGCTCACCGGCTGCGGCGCGAGCAGGCGCGCCGGCGTCTGGAGGAGCGAGGGCTGCTTCCTGGCCTACGCCGACGGCAACACCTCCTCTCCGCACGAGGGCGTGTTCCGCGACGTCGTCTCCTTCGGCGAGGAGGTCTACCGCGCGGTCATCTCCGTCGACGACGGCACGCTGCCCTCCTACCCCAACTGCTTCGACAAGCGGGCGCTCGTGGCGCTCGCGCAGTCCCTGGCGGGGCGCGGCGCGGCTAACAGCTCGGGGGCGCGCGTCGTCACCGACGCGGCCGCGCTCTCGAGCAACGCCACCGGGAAGAACGCGGTGACGCTGCGGGCGCAGTGCGCGAGGGACCGCGCGGCGGCGGCGGAGTGCGGCCGGTGCCTGGGGGACTCGGCGCGGGAGGTGCGGGCGTGCGGCTGGGGCCTCGACGGCGAGCACGAGCGCGTGGCCGACGTGCTCGGCTACAACTGTTTCCTACGGATCGAGACCTCCGTCCCACCACGGCCCGTGGCGAAATACATCAGTGAGTACTTCCTCTTCTCAGAAGAAATCTGATAAAGAGAAAGCAAAATTTGGAAATTGGAATGAACGCACCATGAATGCAATGTTTGGTTCCGGCAAATAAAAAATGAACGCAACGTTTGGCATTTCATGGAGCATTTAGGTAGTCAATGCCATCTGTGCGTAAGATGATCGGCATGCAGATTTGGACTCATCGAGCATGTGTGGTGTGGTATGCGTTGTACTCCAGTTCTAATCAAGTGCGTCTCATCAACGTGCAGTGCAACCAGTGGTTTTGGCCTTGTGCGCCGCCATACTGCTCGTGCTGGTCGTAACAGCGGTGAGCGCGTGCGTGAGAAAGAAGAGGGGCACCGGGAATGTGGCGGCGGCGGCGGCGGCAGCAGCAGCAGGTGCGTCTTCTGTCTCTCGGCTACGTACGTGTTCCCAAAATTAATCTGGAGTACATTCATGCCTGACTGTCAATCAGAATGTCATCCGATTTGATTGTTGAGCTCGGTCTAATTTGTGCCTCGCCGATGCGAAACAAATGAAGCAGGTCAGCAAGTGAACGGTGCTGCAAACTGAGGGAGATGGAGTCACCGGTCACCACCACCTTTGGAGTCATACGACCACCCTGCTGATCTGTTTCGCCGCGTGCGGAGATGGAGATCGGTCGTCGATGTTTTTTTTTTCTGGTTTGAGATCCATGCTTCCGTAGCTAGTAGCTGAACTAGTGGTGTGGGTGTGGCCAGGAATTGGCCGCTGCTTTGGCTCGGTCGTCCTGGGTGATACCAACATGAACCCATGTACTGATTGTCAACTTTATGTCCTAGATCAGTTCCAGCAGCCATGTGTGTGCCTATGCGTTCCTTAAAACTGCAGGCGAGACTTACTGTCGTCGCAATTTAGACTTGCAGCGTGATTGTTGATATCTCAAATAAAGTCCTAAATAAACAGAACAACAATTTTAGCAGGGCTGCTATAGGGCACTAGGCTGAAAGCGGCGAGTCTACCAGGGAGGCTTCAACAGGGTGAAGCCTACCCTCCAGAAAAACAAAATTTTATTTTACTACTAAACTAATCTCGTCCCAACCCAATAGCCCAACTTCTCAGCCTATGTATTAGCGAGTAGCGAACAAACAACGCCGCACACCCAGAACAGAACTGGCGACTCACAGCGGCGGCAGCCATGCTTCATACTCATACTCCAACCCTAGTGCCGCCCACGGGGGACCAGGGTGCCGCTAAGGGAGATGGTTGTGGTAGAGCTTAGCCGTAGCCACAACTGATTTAGGCGGGGGATGCAGGAGCTCGCCGGCCTGCCGACATGTGTGGGGTGCATGTTGTGAACGGGAGGGAGCCAGGGACGAGCTGGGCGGCTGCTGGCTGGGTAACTGAACCGGATGCACGTTAACTAATTTAGTGTCCAATGAAACTATTTGCAGATTCGCAAAAAAAAAATTGAGGAGAAAACATACGAGTATATGCATAGTTCTGCAACTAGTTCTGAACCTATCCCAGCTTGTGCATATGTAATTCAAACTTTGGTTAAAATTTTCATATTTTCAAAAAATGTAAGAACTTCCAGTAGAAAATACATGTTTCCGATACTAATCTGGAAAAAATGAAGCTTATTTGAACCACGGGTTTATGAAGCAATGATTTGGTTCTTTAAAATGATGTTTAGTTCTCTTAGCGTTAACTTTGAGCCCACCCACCATTTTGTTTTTAGATTCGCCACTTGCTGAACCGATGTATCTTCATGAACAACAGGACGGTCGCTGTATTAAACATTATCTGAACTTGCCAGACGCTCAACGAGTATCTGAACATGCAGGAACTTGAGCATAGCAGGGACACTCGGAACTAAACTGAAGATGTCCAATGCTCGTAGTCGTCGCCCGTGACACTTCTCGTGGGGATGTCAAATATGCATGGACAACACGTCTGTAGCTCTCAGATCTTCCCAAAATCACTTTCATATTCCTCTAAACATTAGAGCAACTCCAACCGACCGATCCAAAAGAGCGGTGATTTCGTCTGCTTTTTATCCGTTTGGGTTAGCCAGACGGACATGGATGTCCGCTTTCGCATTTGGATCGGTGCATGCGCCCAACATTGACCTGAACCCATTTTTGACGGCGCAAAAAAATAAATAAACGTATGCATATTAAAAAAGCATATTAAAAAAGAGAAACAACATTAATTAAACATTAAAGCCGGCCATGAAGGGATGAGAGTCCACGCGTCCATATTTGCATTTAAAAAAAACAGTCTAAACTATGAGGCGGCGCGCTGCCCTAGGCGTCCTCGTCATCGTCCTCGGGGTCTGTGAGGTCGATGAGCGTCGGCGCCGGCCCGGCCGAGGCGAACGCCGTGTTTCAGAGCGCCGTCATGTCGGGCTGTGCCGGCGCCGGGGTTGTGTGGCCGCCTGTGCAGCCGCGGCCTAGCGCGCCTCCTCCTCGGCCTCACGCTGCTCCTTCTCGAGGTCGCGCTCGAGCATCTCGAGGTACTCGCCGTCGCGGCGCTCCTTAGCCACCCTGATCTTGCGCCAGTGCTCGAGGTACGCCTGCTCCTGCGCCGGCATCGCTCCCATCCAGACCGGCGGCACGCGTACCCACTCGCGCACTACTCCCGTCCAGGAGTAGCGCTCGATGAGGGACGGCTCGGGCTCCGGCTCCGGCTTGATAGGGGATGGCGGGGCCATCGGCGGCACCACAATGTCGCCCGCCGCGGAGAGGGCAAGGGCCTGCGCCATTGCCGCCTCGTACCGAGCCTCCTCTTCCGCCTCCGTCGCCTCCGCCCTGCGCCGCTAGTCCTCCTCACTCTCCCGAAAAGACTGCCGCAAGTGCCGCCTGGTAGGCGTCCTCCGCCGCCTGGTCCTCCTCGCGGACGACGAGCGCCGGTGGCGGCGACCTCCGGTCGACCTCGCGCACGCCCTGTCGCCTCGCCTCCTCGTGCTCGAAGGCGAACCACCTCGCCCAGTTGGGCGAGTCGGCTGCGTAGGCGGCCTCGTGGCGCTGCAGCGCCCGCCGGCGCCACACCTTCTCCGCGTGAGCACGAGCCGACCGCGGCGCTACCGGCACTGGGATCCTATCTGGATCCAGATGACAGTCGTGCGGCAGCGTCACGTCGGGATACGGCAGATGCTGACGGTGCTGCCAGTGCCACTCCGCCTGGTGCACTGGCACGCTCACGCGCTGCCTCTGCCGGTGAGGCGCCGGCGCCGGCGGAGGCGGGAGGAACTCTGAGGGGAAAGGGGTGTCGGGGGACTTGCCCTTGGCCTTGCTGCAGCTGGCGCCGGAGAAGAGGCCCATCTCGCTGTGGTTGTGGTGGCTAGGGTTTGCCGGCGACGAGGATGGCAGATGTGGACGGCGAGTTTGGATGAGGACAGCCCCGCCGCATGGTCGGCTTAAAAAAGGACGAGCGCCGTCGCTGACGCATGTGCCCGTTGTCATAAATTAAGCTGACCGCGTGGGCAGCGGGTAGTTGGACGGCCGTCATGTGGGGACGCGGCGGATAGAGGAAGGCGCGCGAAGCATCCGTTCGGCATCCGCGCCGACGCATTTGGGGCGCAAATTTGGGCCACAAATGCGTCGGCGCGGACGTGACGCGGACGTGATTTGGGTTTGGGTCCGCGTGTTGGGCCGCCACTTTTGTTCGCGCCGATCCAAACAAATGCAGGCGGACGAAATGGGTCGCCCCATTAAAGTTGCTCTTAGTTGAATAAAGTGTGTTCTTAAAAAAACTTGGCATCATGAATAATTAATAGTTAAATGGACACCGGAAATGTATTCCGTAGCCTGATCTGAATTCTGAGTGTACCGGGATATTTTGGCTCTTTTTGAACTGTCTTGCGTTGTATTTCTTCTACGTTTGACTGTGCTGCGGAAAATTATGCACGAAACTTGACATAAGTTGGAGCACTAAAATAGACAAAAGCTGGATAAGCTGGATTATCATAATTCACGGTAATACATACACACTCCGGATTACAGTGTTTCATTGGATTTTTTTGGAAAACATTGGCAAAAGAGAGGTTTAGCATTATGAAAACGCCAGCGGCTGGCACATGCATGTGCAAGTGTAGTTCATTTGGTTACGGAGGGAAAGTTATATGGCTAAATGCTTAGGTGGCCGAAGTTTTCTCTCAAAATGTCACTGAAGATCAAAATCTTTATGTGGTAATTATTGTGGGATCGACTTCCATCTAGGACCGAGGTGCTTAAGAGGCATGACACGGGGATCGGGTTGTGCCTCTTGTGTGGTCTCCTGGAGACAGGAACCCATATCTTCTTCTCTTGCACGGCAACAAGAGCTTTTTGGAGTTTTGTCTGTGGGTTGTGGGGCCTAACTAGGAGGCCCGGGACCTGGCCGAGCTTCTCTAAACCAAGGCCAACCAGACGGGTAGGAAGAGGCGATTGTTTTGGCTTTGTGTTTATGATATTAGTTTGGATCCTATGGACAACATATAATAAGATGATGATTGAAAATAGTGATAGAGCTTGATCGGAATTGTAGGAGGGGCTAACCTATGTAGGAGTGGCCATTCAATCAAAGATTGGGCAAACCAGCATTATTCATGTCTAATTATGTGTTAACAATATAACAAAACTACACAAGCTGGGGAGGGGGGGGGGGCATGGCCCAGGTTGGCTCTAAGAAAGCTTCGTCACTGATTGAGAAGGTCTTCCTTTCACGAGCTTCTGACTCTTTCTTCAAATTCCTTATCTTTCTGCAGCATTGGCACCCTCTGTCTAGTCACCGTAGCCACGGTCATTTGGGACTTATGCTGGCGCTCATGGGCTATTCTCATTGTGGGCTTTTGGAGACTGAGCTCTTTTACTTTACCCGCTAATCAATATGGGCCGTCTATCCTCGAAATTCAAGGATGGTAATCGATCTATACTGCTCCACTGGACGAGCAAAACATAGCATGCAGTATCAGTGGCACCGTCCGCTCTGCGTGCAGCAGTACACGCCCCGTGAGGGTAATTTAGGAAGAGAGAAATATTAGCCTACCTCGCGTGGGTGCACTCACGTGTCCATCAGGATTCCTACGTCTGCCTGGTTGCCTCCCAATTCTCGGTTGTGCTCGTCACCACCACGCCGTTGCGCTCCTGCATCGTCTTCTTCGATGACACCTCGATCCCTTCCTCCGCTGGCAGCCGTCATTGCATCTCACCTTCGTCCCAGAGCCCGTGTCCGTGTCCTCGGCCATGCTCATGGCCAGGCACTCCGGCGGTATGGCCGTATGACATAGTTGTGCGAGCCCAACGTGCACCTCTTCTTCAGGGCATCTCCAGCCGCGCCCCAACAGGGCCCTCCAGGTCACTTTTTCGACGCCGGCGTCGAAAAAACTGCCCAGTCGCGCCCCCAGGACGCCGAAAATCGCCAGTTCGGACCTTTTTTCCGCCCGGCGGTCACAGGCCGAACCCGGCGCGCTGGGGAGCAGTTGGGGGCTCCGGCGCTAGGGAAAAGCACGCCTGGCCCACACCGACAGGGGAAAAGTCAAGGTTTTCTTCCCCCGACTCGCCTCGCACCCCCCGCGCCCTCGGCCACCACTAGCTATATCCCGACGATGGCCGCCGCCCTACTCCGCTAGATAGCCATTCCCCGCCGGAAAATAGCAGCGCTTTGCCACGGCAGCCCCACGCACAGCAGCTGGGCGTTTCAGGCCGCCGTTTCCGGCCGCGGAGGCGCGGTTTAACGACGGGTACACGCCCACCGAGTGCAAGGTGTTCGGCGTTTTGCCTGCCTCGGCGATGGACTCAGATGAGGAGGAAGAGCTCGCCGCGCTGCTGGAGGAGGAAGCCGCGACCGACGTCCAGGAAGAAGAGCATCTCATGGTGCTCGCCACCCTCGGCCAGCTGCTGGCGAGCAATGAAAAGCCGCGGCGAGGTGGCTCGGTGCCGGGGCGGATGAAAGCAAAGAACCGGCATCGTCTCCAAGGCTACTGCATGATCTACTCCGACTACTTCGCCGATGCTCCACTTCATGGCGAGAGAACATTTCGGCGCCGTTATCGTATGAGCCGAAAGCTCTTCCTCAGGATTGTGAATTCCATCCGAGAGTTCGACAACTATTTCAAGTGCAAGATGGATTGCACTAGCGCTCTTGGATTCACCTCCATCCAGAAGTGCACGACAACGATGAGGATGCTTGCATATGGAGCTCCCAGTGATTCACTCGACGACTATGGGCGCATGGCCGAGTCCACCAACATAGAGTGTTTCTACAAGTTCTGTCGGGCAGTGGTGGCAGTGTTTGGGCCACAATACTTGAGAACACCCAATGCGGAAGACACTGCTCGGATCCTAGCCCAGAATGCAGCAAGAGGATTTCCTGGGATGCTTGGAAGCATCGACTGCATGCATTGGAAATGGAAGAATTGCCCATTTGGTTGGCAGGGGATGTACAAAGGCGCCAAAGGCGGTTGCAGTGTGGTGCTTGAGGCGGTAGCCACACAGGACCTCTGGATTTGGCACTCCTTCTTTGGTATGCCAGGAACTCACAATGACATCAACGTGCTGCAGTGCTCTCCTGTTTTTGCCAAGCTCGTTGAGGGCCATTCTCCTTCGGTGAACTTCGAGATCAATGGGCACCAATACAACAAGGGGTACTATCTAGCTGACGGCATCTATCCGAGATGGTCGACATTTGTGAAGACGATCTCAAACCCTGTGGCAGGAGGCAAGAACGCCTGGTTTGCGAAGCTTCAGGAGGCTTGCAGGAAGGATGTCGAGCGGGCATTTGGTGTGCTCCAATCTCAATTTGCTATTGTTCGGTACCCCGCTTAGACCTGGTCCAAAGATCAAATGTGGGAGATTATGACTTGCTGTGTCATCTTGCACAACATGATCATCGAGAGCGAGCAAGAAGACCCAGTGTTTGACACTGAACCATACTACAGGCAGGGTCCTCTAGCCGAAGTTGATCACCAGCTACCGGCAACTTGGACTGCCTATCTCAGTATGCGTCAGGAGATCCGAGACCCACAGGTGCATCATCAACTGCAGAAAGATCTAATTGAGCACCTATGGAGGCTCAAGGGGGACGCCGTGTGATGAAATACGAGTTTTTATTTGTTGAACTATATAATTTGTATTGAACTATTTATTGTTGTACTATTTTGTTGAAGTATTTGATTTTTCTATGATGAAATATGTGATAAGAAATAATTGTGTTGATAATTGAACGTCGAGACACGGCGAAATCACGCCGAATATGGGCCTATTCTCGCCCATATGGGCCCTTTATTCGCTGAAATTGGGCTGCAAAGTGGGCCAATTTCGACGCCTGGGGGCGAGCTGGGGGCGACGACTGGGCGAAAAACCGCCCCCAGAACCGAGGG